CTGGAACAGGCTGCCCAGAGAGGTTGTGGAGTCTCCTTCTCTGGAGATCTTCAAACCCGCTTGGACGCAGTCCTGTGCCACGTGCTCTAGGTGACCCTGCGTGTGCAGGGGTTGGACTAGATGATCTCTAGAGGTCCCTTCCAACCTTAACCATTCTGTGATTCTATGATTCTATGAACTCCACACCCGTGTTGAGTGTTTCGTTGTCTGGCTCATACAGGCTTCATTAAAGCAAATTCCACCCTGCTCCTCCACCTCGATTCTCCTCTTTCATGGTTTCTGCATGCAGAAACACCACGAAAACTCTACCTTGTACCCAAATACACTGCCCCGAGGGACCTACTGCACTCGGCAGGGACTGGATTATACACAAAAGAGGGAAATCTACCCCAAAAAGTGCCACCTTCCTCCCTCCCACTGTCATGTCGGGTGACGTGTTCCCATTAACACCCTGCAGCCACTCAAATGAACAAGCTGTCAGGAGACCAGCGATTTATATTTTGGATGGATTACCCCAACGAGAAGGGAGGCGAGGTGCCAAAGAACTAGGAATTCATAAGCTAAAGTGCTAGAAGTGAATTAAAAAGAACCGCAAGGAAAGTGACTGCCCAACAGTCCCCGAATCAAAGAGTGCTCAAGGTTGGAAGGGACCTCTGGGGATGATCTAATGCCACCTCCTTGCTCAAGCAGGGTCACCTAGAGCTCCTCGCACAGGAGCACGGCCAGGTTGGGAATATCTCTGCTCCGGCAAAGCAGTCCCAGCCAGGGAAGTCCAAGGGGCAGCCAAGTGCCCGTCCGAGGACCGTTTTGGTTAAGGTCAAGCCCGTTCGTAGCTCCCTTTGTGAAGCAGAAAGAGCATGGAAAGAAAAAAAAAAGACTCTGTTGTTGGTGAGCTCATTTTATGAAGAAAAACTTAATGTCGCTGTTGCTGTGGCAACTTTCAAATTGTAGGAGGGAGAATTGGCCAATTTTCCTTACATAAAAGCATCATGAGAATATTACGGCAGTGGGCTGTTCTTCATGACTCCAAAGTAGCATCAAAAGCTCTACCTAAACCTTCCCGTTTTTAACAAAGGAGTTTGGAAATTCGTTTCGCTCCGGCCGACGTCGGAGCGGTCGCTCCAGGAGGAGGAAGAGGTCCCTTCCCAGCGCTGGGAAGGCAGGAGAGCTCGGGTGCCCAGGAAAAGGGAATGCAGCACGGGAAGGAGCTGGCCACCGCCGTGGCTCCGTGGCACCGTTCCGCGTTGATGGCCACCCCTGCCTGCATCAGCACTCCTAAAAACACTTTTTTGAGGCTTTGCATGTGTTAAAATGTAGCTGCGTGCGGGTGAGTGATGACACTTCCCTCATCCAGAAGCTTTAGGGGGTCTGCGACCAGCTTGTCCCTTACTGTGCCACCAAGCAGAGCTCCTACATGTGCAGCCCTAAGCTTTATCGGGCCGGGAAACGAAGCGGGGGAAATTTTCCCTTCCAAAGGCAGAGAGGACAGGAGGCCTCTGTCTGCACCAGGGGTGACTTGAGGGGTCCCTAATTTACCTGAGCACGGAAGGATTTGCTGGAGAGCATCTGCAAGGAGCCCCGTGAGCCCTGCAGCTAATTCACTGCGCTCAGGAGAGAGGCGACCACTGAGAACGGCAATAAATAGAAAATCTTAAGCAAGTACTTAATGCCTCTCCCCTTACGCTCTTAGCACGCTGTAGCCTTTATACTGACGGTCGGGAATGTCGGATACAGGCTATAATTAAAAAAAAGCACAAGTGGAGCTTGCTTAATGCATCGATATTCTGCAGCCACAAGCCGAACAGCTTCCCATGGAGGAGATGCACAGAGTCAGCAGCGCTGCTGCAAAAAAGCCTTCGTGCTAACAGGCTGCAGCGCAAGGGAAAAAAAGACCCAGCTGATTCACAGGGTGCCAGGAGAAGCCTGTGAACAGGAGATCACAGTCGTCCGTATCTAGGACTTCTGATTCTAAATCTGCTGGCACCGCAGCCAGGCCTTGCAGGTTGGGGCGTCAGCGAGCGCTGCGTTTCTGCAGCGAGCGGAGCTTCAAAAGCCTCTGGAATCAAAGGGTTTCGGGCACACGGCGTTTCGCCGCGGCGCCCCGGAGCAAGAGGGGCTCCGCAGGGGGTTCGGAGCGCTACAGAAGTGTTTCCTGCCCAGAAAACCGGCACGAGGAGGCAGAAGGCCCGGGAGGCGCCGCACACCTCGCCCTGCTGCCCTTCACAGAAGTGCCTGTCCCAGATTTACTGGGAGAAAACTTTCCCGACGCTCGGCTGCGTGACGAAGCGCTCTCCATTTCCAAAATCAATACATTAGCTTCGATAACGAGCCTCTAATCATCGTTTGCCACCTCCAAACAAGCGGAGCAGATGGGGAGCTGCATTTCCATCGCGTTCCATCTTCCACCGCAGCCACTGATAAAAGCAAAGCGAAGTTCTGGTGGGAAGTGTGAACGTTTCTGAGCGGCTGCAACCCTGCTCCATCTGCTCGAGCAGACGGGCCGGAGCGATGCCGTCGGAATGCCAAAGCGGCCGCGGCGGGGGAGCGGCCTCGGCGCCGCACACGTACCTCTGGGCCAGCGTGTCGCACGGCGAGCCCTTCCTCTTCCTCGAGTCGGGGTTGCCGGGGTCCGTGGAGCTGTCCCCGAGGCCGCTCATGGTGACCTACTTTGCACCTGCAAAGAGAGCCAGAGTTGAGCGCGGGCTCCCGAGCGCCGGGAGCCGCAGCGCGGAGGAGGCGGCCGACCCGGCGCGGTCACCCCCGTCCCTTGAGGGCTTCCTCCAGGTCTCAGCCGAACGCGGGCGCTTGGGCTGCAGCAGTTTAGGAAGGACAAGGTGCAAGGAGAAGACAGCAAGTCATCGTGTCACCCTCCCAGGGGAGCTGGGGGACACCCGCAAGCCCCTGGCACCCTCAATTGGGCTTAGCCCAATGGCACCACCAGTGCCAGCCCGAGCCCCCCGCTGGCCCCACGGCCCGAGCGGGGCCAACCCCGTTGGACAGGGGGCCAAGGGAGCCCCCAGCGCGTGGAGCTGGAAGCGGCGCTCGCGTTGCTAAAGCCACGTGGTGACCAGCGGGGACCGCGACGCCGCCGTCGTGCAAGCGCCACCTCCGAAGCCCGTATCTGCTTCAGGCTCTTCGGCAGGAGCTGGGACACCAAGGCAGGGGACAGGGCCCAGCTCCCCTCCCGCTCGCCCCCCGGCCCATCCGCCGGCCCCAGCGGGAGCGGGAAGGAGGAGACGGGAAGGGGAGAAGACGCCCGCGCCGCTGCCGGCGCCCGTGCCCCG